GTGCGACAGCCCCGGGCGCCCGCTGGGGGCAGCGTGCGGGGCCCTGCGCTTTCCTGCGCCAACTCACCGTCGCATTTCTTTCAAAAACGGGGCGGCAAATGGCTTTATGCGGGTTTTCCAAGGACGCCGCCCCGGGCGCAGGCCTCGCGCCCCACGGAAGGAGTCCCCGCGCTGGGACCCAGTTTGGGTGGCGGAGAACTGGGCCGCTGCGGGTTTGTGTTGAACATGCTCACACCGAAAAAAGTCAGTAAAATAAAAATACATTTAAAAGAAAAAGAAAATGCTTATAACCCATGTCCCGGAGGAGTGGACACTTTCGACACCAAGCTCCGTGTTTAAGACCAAAGCCAAGGAGGCGTGTTTCTAAATCTCAAAGACACACAGTGCCTGCGGCTGAGAGCTCGTAATGTCACCTGCCTATGAATGTCTTTGTCTGTGTATTTTTGTAATTCCTTCGGTAATTAAGGTACACGAAGGCATTTGCTATGTCTTGGCTAATGGAGCCTAAAAATATAAATAGAATGTGCTGTATGTTTTCATTTCCTGCCCGGTTGGCTTCCAGTTTATGTCTCCTTCTTAAGGGATATTTGCACTGATAACACACTTGCTAACTTATAACTAGGATGGGTTATGAAATGTTTTGGTAATTATTAGAATTTGTAATAATTTTAGATGTAGATTTCATTTGAAAAATGCTACTTGAAAACTGCAGTAAATGCAGTAGCTGGAGTGATACATTTTTTTTTTGTTCTGAGAATATATAATGTTCATATTTAATGGCCATAAAGATTTTGGAAGTCTTTCAAAATAAATTTAACATTTTCAAGACCTCACCTCCTCATTTATTTCCAGAAGGCTGAAGAACTTTTGGTTTCTTGACAAAAATGTGAGCCTTGGTAATTCACGAATCAGTGTTATCACATTTATTGGCCACTAAACCAGCAATTTAGTTTCTTTATTGTGGTTCTGGTTGTGCTTTATGTGGGGGGACTAATAAAGATCCCCCCCAGCCTGAGCCCCACGAGGCCCCTTCCAGCCCTGCTGGCCGGCGGGACCTGTGGTCACCGGCTCTTCGGGGTTAGCACTTGGGCAGCTGTGCCCTTCTCTCCCCCGGGTGCCTGCTCTCCCCCGGGTGCCCGCTCTCCCCCGGGTGCCCTCCCTCCCCCGGGTGCCCGCTCTCCCCTGGGTGCCCTCCCTCTCCCGGGTGCCC